GCTTTTTTCACTAGTACTTATCAGTGCAGCCCAACTCAGCTCAACTCTACAGTTTGGGCGGTTCTTCATTGCCGCTGAACAACAGCTCTAATGGGTGGTGTCATCATACAGTCAGGTGGCCTCAGAGTTCAGAAAGATGTACGATGTCATCAGTATGTTACACAAACACTACGCAATAATTGAGAATGTCAGCTGTATTAAAAACTACATGGAAGAAAAGTACAAAATTCTGCAAAGTAGATTATTGTAAGCAGAGATCTCAAACCACATGCCTTCAGGGCCGATGTCCTGCAACCTTTAGACATCTCTCTGCTTCAGCTCACCTGCTAACAAAATTAGCTCATTAGCAGAGCTTTGTAGATCTTGACTGCATGCTAGTGAATTCAAATGTGTAATACAAGAGAAATCTAAAAGTTGCAGGACAGGAGTCCTTGAAGAATGCAGTTTGAGACCACCATTGCAAGGGAAATCGTGATGCAACCAATGAATCCAACCCCAAGCTAATCAGTGACCGATAATCTTCTAACGTAGCATTTTATCCCTGAACTCCAGAAAAGTAGGTTCTAAAAATGGAGTTACGATTGAGTGACAGCTCTAATGGGCGGGGTCGTCTATTGCCATGGTTAGTTTTTACAAAGTCGGAAGGGAGTCAGTGTTGTGACGCGACCAATGACTCCACCTTCTAGCCAATCAGTAACCAACAGTCTTTTAACATCAGATTTTCAGCTTAACTCCACACACATAGAATCCCATCAAAGTAAGTTCTGAAAGAGGAACTGATACCAAGTAACCATTACTAGTGGAAAAGCTTTTGAACCACATAGAGCTGAGTTAAGCACCACTGAGTACATACAAATGGACACAGACTAAAACTTGTACATAATTGTAAAGTGAAAGCAGAAATTAAACCTGATTGTCAATTTCTTAGATTGAAATCTCTGAAGATCTTTCATTTACAGTTTTCGACTATTCTATGAGACAGTTTTGATTTTGATTGGTAAAGTTCTTTAGTCAGGGATGGTTTCTTGGATCTTGGAATCTGAATCCCATCTGGCCAATAGAGCAAACACCATTACAGCGAAGCATCTACGGCTTCTTGTCCTCCCCAGTCGCCTCTTTCTCTGCTCCATTTAGAGCTGCAGCCCCGCTTGGATCGATGGCTTTCTCCAAGCCGCCCCGTCATCAATTATTTACCTGATCAGCACTGCTGCTCATTAGATGACTAATCTGGGAGGGTGAGGAGAGCCGGGACGCTGCGTTGAAACGTGAAACCGAGAGGCAGCAGAAGAAGAGAAGGGCGGATCCAGGTCTCCAGACTGGATCCGTAGGGAGGCACCTGTAAATGTGGGGCAACCGATTTGTATGCCCGGGTTCTGTCATTGGATAGAGTTGGATTACTTTTGATGAAGGTGCACATGTATCGCTGTCAAAGTCAGCATGCGGTCCAAAGCGTCACGGCTGTTAGTGCATTGAGAAAAAAACGGCATCAGAAGGTGAATGAGGGGAGCCTTCAATTAGCCTGAGTCTGCGAGCAGGACTCAGGTTTCACCCCACCTAAGTGGTTCACAAAAACATCTGTGGTCAGTGTGGGTCACATTTTTACTGTCCCATAAATCTCTCCCCTGGTGTCCCTCCATGTGACTCCAGTTCTGTTATTCCAAGTGTCCCTGCATGTTGTTTGGCGCTCTTGTTTCATTCCTGCCAGCTCCGCGAAATCAGGGTCAACCGTGGAAGAGACAACAAAACCCGAACAGGTACAAATTAGAGCGCTTCATTATTAATCCCTCGTGTTTTCTCGCTCGGTCCCGACACTTCCAAAGCCGTCTTGAAGGGGGGTGTTGCTCAAAGACGGAGATAAAGAAGGAGAGCAGCCCCCAGCTCTCCTGATCATGCACAAGTGAGGTGTATGTGTGTGTGAGTGTATTTGGGGGTGTTGCTTTGATCTCCCTTGTCCCCCCCTGAGAACCACAGCGAGGTGGGAGTGCACTGTGAAGGCTGTGCTACACGTTAGCTCTGATTAAAAGGAAATATGCATCACTGTGCTCCTTTTTATCTGCGCCTGCGATGAGGTGCGATGGCGACACTAGCTTGAGACCCGGTTTGTGCTCGTGTGGCAGCATTATCTGCGTTCTTCCAAAGCTGGAAGCCACCCTGCGGTGACCTGCCCTCATTTCAAACCCTCTGGATGCTCGGAATTATGCCGGCATTGCCCTTTGACCTCGTGATACAAGATTGTGCCCTTTCGAATCAATTAGAGCTGAAGATGTGCATTCCACAGCGGCGTGGCAATGGGCCTGTGGAACACCACGGCAAGGGACAAACACCCCATTTCCCAGGAACTGCAGTCTAAACGTAGGTGGAGCTCAGATCATTAAATATGAAGCCGTCGTATCACACAGCCTGTGTTTTTGAGAGTTCTTGTCGGAGGATCACGACTTCAACTTTCGCAGGACAAATGAAGGAAGAACAAACGAAAGTTTTTAATCTTCCATCTCACATCTACAGCTGGAGTGGTGAAAGTTGGACACTCTTAAAAAAATATTTTCAATAATACTTCAAGCTGATGTTTGTTATATGATAGCAAACATTGAAAATACTCCTTGAATCTAAATGCATCGTGACACTAGATCAGGCGGATGGAAGGCCTGCTAAGTGGGGGAGGAGTACAGAGGTGAGGCAGATGTAGGTTACCAACAACCCCTTGTCTTCCCCCACTTTGCTTGATCCTCCTTCTCTCCACACACACTTCTTCAGTTAATACCAGGCTCCAAAACACTTTTCCTGAGCACTTTCGCTGTTTGTTGTTTCCTTTTGCTTCTGTTAAAACACACCAGTTTAACAATTCGTCTCAGACAAGACTACAAGAGAGCCACATCAACTTTCCTGTCAGATTTCAGATGCGTCTCATCAGCATCTTGTCAGTTAACCTAAACGGGGCAAAGGGAAGAGAATATTGACTATGAAACATGTCAAAAAGGGTGACAGAAGAATCGGGCTCTGTCGCCCAAGAGATAGAAGCTCATTTAGGATTCTCAGTTAAAACTGTACAAAGGACAATCCACCGAGACTCGTCACGCTCATCATGCTGTCTGGGACTCTGTGTGCTCATAGCAGTCAACCGAAGACAACCTGGACCTGAACGTTAATAAAAAATGTCTAATTCCACAAAGCTCCACTCACTCCTTCCTAGTGGAACAAAGTGGAAGAAAGCTTCTTGAAACTACTTTTTATTGGGTTTTCACTGAATGAAAATCTAAACAAACTACTAAATTAGATGATTAGCTTTGGTTACTTTCTGTTTTTGCTGTTACAACCCTTTGAGTGAGTCCAGGGTGGCACAGGGTGTAACATAAATTGTGGATTAAAAGTAAAGCCAGTCATTTACTTTCCATTAGTCCACTGGCTCAGAGCCTGGTTAACACAAGGGAAGTAAAAAGACTTCAGGGTTTCCAAGGCCAAATCAACAAACAAAAATAAACTACTTCGAGGTCAAAAACAAAATCTGAACAAAAAAAAAAACAGAAATTACAATTTCTAAACTCTGGCTGGCCACAAAGACAGGAAAGAAAATGGCAGAGAAATCCCACCAAGCTGCCCATCTAAACACTAAAATGCAAGAGTTCAAATGTCTACATGACCTAAACAGAATTTGCTATAACACTGAGGACTCTGTTCAGTTAAACACAGAAATGGCCGGCACCGGACCAGGAGCCGCGTTTCAGTTCCAGATGTATGCAAATCTTTATCAATATTCCGCCAGTGTAGAAGAACACTATATGCAATTGTGTTCTTTAATGTTTCCATTAAATAAGAGATGCAATTAAAATCTCATGGGAAGACATTTGTGATAAGCTATTAAACATGTTGCGCCATCGTCCTCCAACTACTTCCTCGTTTCCTTCTTTGTGGTTGGCGCCAGTGGAAACATCCAGGTGTTGAACATGGTTTTGTTGTGCAAAACACATTTCCATTGCAGTTTTGTGAAATAAATCAACTTCGACACAACCAAAAGAGAAGACAAAAAAAGTAAAAAATCATCTCATCTTAGTGCCAAATGTTCAATTAAAATCATGTTTTTTTGAAGTTGAAAAGTTTCCATTAAACAAATGTATTTTTGAAATCACAAACTGCGCAATACGGCCAACGAAAACACAGTTACTGGCGCATTTTTCCACTGCCTGATGAGAAGTGACTCCAGGTGTGACAGCAAGCCTGCAAACTAAAAGGGAGCAAAGGTCCACTGCCCCCTACAGGTCAGTGGATGTAACATTTGCAAAAGAAAAAAAATGTATATTTCAGCTGTACAAAGGGGGAATCCAAAGTGTGAATACAAGTCAAAAAAGGTTTCAAAAAATGGGACCACTAAAGACAAAATTTTGGAAATTGTATTTCTTTTAATAAGGCTAATATCTGGATCTTTAATGGTTTACAAATTTCTTTAACAATGTTGAGTAAGTAAAACCTAAAAATAATCATAAAAATAAAAAGAATTTAGATTTAATGAATTTTGTGACCAGAAGTTAGAATTTGCCAATTTTGACTCAAAGTTTGGACATCACTGCTATAGAACATCTCAAGTTGTGGATGACACTCCACTACTACTAATAAATATCTTCCGGTAAATACTCTACATCCTAACGTTTTTGAAGGGGTTTTACGTTTCCATTCACACCTCTGAGTGAAACGCTGATGTGACTCAACAACCAGCCAGCTGTTGGCAGCAGAGTCCGACTCTGTTTGGGTTGCATGTTGAGTAAACCCTGGGAACCACTGCTAGGCTGTTCAACTGCGGTTTAAAGGCGCTGTATTTTGGGCTACTGTAACTTGTCACTTACCTCATCTGAACCAACAACCATCAGAGATGACTGCTTCTGTTTTCACAAAACAGAATTATGAAGTGCACTAGGGGCCTCTGATAACTTAGCGGCGCTAAAGGAGAAGAAAAACATGCCAACCGGCGAAAGTCTGTTCCTGAACAACACAAAGAGAACAACACAACATCATCAACGAACAACTTTATTCTCACATCAGGTTCTTCAGGTACACAAACAGTCACAAGCACAAAACATTTTCAGTCTTTTTTCCTTCCTTTGTTTAGTTTCGTTTTTTATTTACCCGGGTGAGCATCAGCATTAAAGTGAATGAAAGGTGAGTTTTTCCATTACCAAGCGCGTGCCGACAGTGGCGCGTGTTCCTCCTGTTGCTGAGGAACGAAGAGACTGACCCTGAACTCTGTCACTTCCTGCCTGATGTTTAAGGGCTTGAGAAAAATAAAATATAAAGGACAACTCACCGATGACCCCCACAGTGGAGCTTACTGTAGCCGACCCCCATCGGTGCTTTGGCCTCGGCCCAGACACAAAGACCGCTCTGCATGGCTTTTGTCGTAATCATATCTGCACCTGCACTCTTCCATGTGGACAGAACAAAGCAGCCGATTCACTAGTGACTGTAAATATAGATATTTTCTTCTTAATATAAATATCAAGGTATTCTATCTATAGAATAATGTCTATATAGCATATATTTTTATATATATTTACTTTTGGTAATTTTTTTTTTAAACATTCAGGTACATTCACTTGACCCTGGGAACTACTTTTTGTATGAAACATAAACAGACATATGGTAACAGAGCTACATATTATGTAATAATGCCAACCCAACCATGAAACGGGACATTGAAAGGATAGTTTGGGTTTTTTGAAGTGAGATTTTATGAAGTTTGCAGTAATAGATACCCGATCTATAACAGATAGTCAGATGCACTAGTGAAATATTTATATCTGTGGGACACAACAAGCCAGATAAGCTGATAACCTTCAAACACTTAGCCATAAATTTGTTGTTGGGATTAAGGTATACAGAAGTTTTCATAAAGTTTCAGAATTCCTTCTCTCACCTGTTGTAGTGGTTTATTCATCATCTGGCTGCTAAACGTTTTACCTTGCTTATAAGAAAGACAAAAATATAGTAATTTAACTATTCATCTGCTCATGAAACCGAAGGTCCAGGTGCAAAAGTACGGTTCGCTCGTTCTGAGCAACATGTCTTTAAAACAGCCTGCAGCCACAAATTCAATCAGTTAATATCTACTCATAGAGAGAGAACCAAAAGCAAAGCTCAGCAAGAACTTGAAAATCAAAATTTAATTATGAGTGTTTATTCCACATAGTAGCTTGATTCAAGCTACATATGATGTAATAAATAAACTGGAGACTCACCGATAATTTGGCCCAAATTTTCTTAATTTTGGGAGATTGACAAACCAAGCTTATTCATCTAACAATACTCACCCCACTATTGGCAATGAACCACTTTGTGGCTGTATTTAACAACTTTTTAGATAAGCAAGAATTAAAGATTGGTCAATAGCCAGGAAATTGTAATTGGAACACTCCTAAAACATTTTTTCTAGCCCCACTAATATTCTTTATAAGTCTGTAGCAGCAGAAGGAATAAATAGTGCTTCTTTGTTTTACAAAAAAGCAATTAGATCAGGTTAAATATTCTTGTTTCATATTTTGACACCATGTATGTCTCTGTGGTGTTTTTACTCAATATTTTCCTACTGTGACGCTACTGGCCCTTCATTTTTCCACAAATCCATACCACATCCTCCTGCTGCAGCCTGGGGAAGCATTACTGACGACTCCCAAAGACTCACTTCATTAAATCCAAGCTAACCCTTGGGGAAGAAAAAAAACAACAATCGTTCCCCCAAATATAATGCGACGAACAAAACAAAAATGTGTCAGTGCTGGTTCTGTAATCACCAACCACAAGCATAAATATTCTCTGTAGTAACCTAAAGTACAAAATAGCATATTCTTCTGGATTTAACGACAGTTTCTATTAAATCTACTCAGTCTGGGCGCACAAAACTCCACAGGTGCATACAAGAGCTGGCAACAACAGCTAGGCAATCCATTGCGTATTTACTAAAATCAGCGAACAGTATTCACTTCTACAATCACTACTTTGAATAGACCCTGGCATATCACAGAATACACACACACACACACGCACACACAGGCATTAATCGACTGAAACAAGCCTAAAGGGAGTCATAGTAACGATTAGCCTCATGAACACGTTCTGCTTTTCTTTTTTAAGTTTCTTTAAAGGCCACGAGGATGTCACTTGGTGCTGGTTACAAAAATCTTTCCTTCATGGGTCTTACTAGAAACAGGGCCATTCAAAACACAGAGCTCGATGACAGATGTCGTCTGTCGACTCCGTGAAAAATGTTACATCGGAGGATTGTACAAACACTCATTTCTTTTCATCTTTGATGACCAAAAGCCAATGGAGAAAACCGTCAGCCAGCACAATAAGTAGACGATGTCCTGCAGTCATGGGATCTTTACCTAGTCACTTCCTCCAAGTTTTATCTAACCATGCAGACTTTTTAAACACACTGTGTTGGTTGTGCTCAAAACTTTTCCAGGAGACATCATTTATCAAAACTATGACCTGTGACAATGGGTCAGGATGCTAACAGAGCTAACAAAGGACCACTGATGCAGCCAGTTTTCCTCTAATCACCACTCAGCAGATGTCGGGTGACAAAACAAAATGAGGAGAACTCCAGCACAAAATGAACCAATAATCTGCATGGTTAGATCAGTTAAAGGGTGAAAAGACCCTTAATTAGTTAACAGTTGTGTCAGTTGGATTAAATATTAGTCACAACAACATTTAAATAAAACGCAGAAAAAATATTTTAAACAGTATCTTAAATACCCCCAAACTCATAGAACAGAACAGTGCAAACAGAAAAATAAAAATGATTGTGTTTCTATAAGTGAATTGGTGAGAGAATCTCTTACGACTTGGAACATCAGACCCTTTCATTTCTTATCTCTTGTCTAACATTGTGAAAGACCAAACTAGAGTTCAAAAGACCTAAGAGAACCTCTCCATCCCTGTGCTGCTGATTGTTGGGACTGAGCGAGTATGAGGAGGAGCTACGGTAAGGGCCTCGCCCATTCAGCCGCTTAATGTGGGCTTGGAGAAGGAGTGTCTAAGTCTCCGTCCACCTCCCCTTCTTCTTGCCCAGAGTAGGAGCTCAGGGCGTCCCACAGCAGGACCGGCTGCTCACAGTGATGGTGACTTCTCCAGTGCTCCATAATCAACTCCTTAGTGTCCAGCACCTTACTGCAAAGCACACAGTTAAAGGCCGCCCCTGCTGCCAGAACCCCCAAGTCGCTGGCGTTCTCAGGAGAGGTCGATCTCGTTTCGTCGCCGTCCCCGTCCCTAACACGGTGGAGGGACATGATGTGCTTCTTAAGTTTGGAGAAGGAAAAGAATTCCTCGTCGCAGCTGCCGCACTTCACCAGGTTGCGCTTCTCATTCAGCTGGCGCCAGTAGTGAGCGGCATGCTTTACCAGCTCGTTCTCGACCTCGCGGCCGACACGTTGGGCCACACCGTCATGGGCACGGATGTGGACTTCCTCCTCATGTACATACAGCAAATGCATCTTCATGTCAGCAAAGGTGGGAGTGGTAGCTTGACACCGGCCGCATTTGATCTGCAGCTCTACAGGGTCTTCCCGATCTTGTTCGTCCGACGGCTCCGGAGAGACAATTCTGGGGAGAAAAGGAGAAAATACAACCAATATGCTTCAAACTAAAAGGTCAAGAAGCTTAGCACATGTTCAATGGCTATCAAAGAGTGACCTTACCCCTCCAAAGACACATCATCCTCATGACGACTGATTGAGGGCTCCACGGTCAGTACAACCCTGTGGACCTCCCTCAGGTGACGGAAATACACGCCCACATATCCAAAGACCTTGTCGCAGAACTCACAACACAGAGATCGGCGCGGCCGTACTTCAGAGTGATGAAGCTTCATGTGAGTGCTCAGGCTACCTCTGTGAGCATATGCTTTGCGGCACAGGGGGCAGATGTAGGGCCGATTATTTGTGTGAGTGTTCATGTGGTTCTGGAGGTGGTGCTTGAACTGGAAACAGCGGTTGCAGATTGAGCAGCGGTGGAGCGGACGGCTGCCGATGAACACTTTTGGGTTGGAACCGGCTCTCAGGTGAAGGGTCACCGGAGCCGTTTGTGGGGAACAGTCCAAAGTCTTGGTTGTAGCAGACGTGGATAGTTGGTGACCAAGTAAGAGCTCCTGTTCTTGGCCATCCGGAGCTACTGTAGGCAAGCTCACCAGTTGTGGAACCGTCTCCATAACCAACATGGGCTTGGGTCGGATAGTTCTGTACTTCTTGGAAATATCAACTTCTTTTTGTTTGAAGCCTGGAATTACTGCTGGAGGTTTTTCAGGGACCCTTTTACGAAAGAAAGACAAAGATCTCTTCTTTCTGGCTTCAAAAGCCAAGATGTCTTCCATTGTCTTTCTCTTCCTTCCTCTTTTCTTGCCAGGTGGCTTCTGAAGAGTAACAGGAACCAGTGAGGGTTTGGAGTTCAGCACCGGGTTTTGCCGCAAGACATCGGCATTCTCCGTGTTCTTGGACATAGTATCTCCAGAAGTGAAGACTCCTGTCTGTCCACAGAAACTTTTTCTCTCTGGGGACAAACTGCTGAGCTTTGTAGATGGTATCAGAGAGCTCTTTATCTTAGCATAAGGCAGAATGGGCAGCTTACCCTTAGGTGGTGAAGGAATAATCTGAACTGCTTTACTGAAGATGGCTGGTGACAGGACAGTGATACTGCCCTGAGGCTGAGCAGCAGTCGATTTAGTTTGGCACAACCCCACTGTGGTCTTAGTTTCCTCGGGGGGGTTGCTTGTAGAGTTTGAGGACGCTGCAGAAGGGTAGTGGAGGTTCTGAACGAGGCTTGCTGAAGCAGTTCGCTCACTGCCATCTGCCGTTTGCTCTAACTTAGAACCAGGACAGAGGAGAGCTTTCTCTGGTAACACAGCAGTGACAGAGATGTCAGAAGAGGCTGGGTCAATCAGAAATACTTTTTCTAAAGATTCTTTTGTGGTTTCCCTTGTGTGCTTATTCTCTTCTAGCTTTAGCTTTGCAGATGTTCCACTCCCCACTGACTTGGTCTGAGGCAGTACAGGAACATTGAAAGCTGCTTTTGTACTTACGGCAATCGGTGATTTGACCTTTTCTGAGCTCTTCTTGCTTCTCGCTGATGGGTATCTGGGTATGGGTAACTTGAGGTTTTTCTGGATTGACTGGGTTTGGTGCTGAGGCGTCTGAGAGGAGACAGAAGGTGGGAGTGCAACCAGGGAGAATGTTCCATCTTGACCTGCTATTTGCATCAGTGCATAGTTTTGTGTGGGTACGAGGATGGACTTGGGGCTAGAGGCAGTAGTCGCCTCAGGTAGAGCTGATAGAGGCTGGCAGGATGGGGCCAAAGGGGAGGTTGACGGCACCACAGCTGGGGCCTTGGGAGCAATGCTCCGGAACTGAAGGCTCTTCATCTGATGGGATGGATCACTTGCAACCAACTGAAATGCATAGAAAAAAGAAAATCATTTCTTACATTAGCAATACTGCCAAATTCTGGACAACACTTGAAAACATCAACACCATCTTTTCACATTAACATAAATATTAGAAATGCATCAAAACAGCAGCTAGCAAGACAACAGGTTTTCAGCCAATGTTTTTGGCCAGTTAGGGTGGGAAACTAAAAAAATTCAGGATTTTCTAATTTGTGAATACCCAAGTGCTAAAGGCAGTAGAAATGACCACACTCTTCAGAGTGGAAGCCGTTTCTGAAGGAAGTGTCTAACTTTAGTGGGATGTTTAAGCAACAGAAGAAGCTAGATGCTATGACATATTGAGCCATGCCTTGGGTTCATTATTACACTAATGTTGCTGTAATATTCAATAAAGAAGTTGGTATCTGATAGTAAATGAGACATTTGACTCTTAAAAGACTGAAGTATGTAAAAGGAGAATTATATTTTTTAAAAAAAGCATAATGGCATTTAATTAAAATATGACATATTTGCACCAGTTTCTATACTCAACTGAAAAGTCTATTTTCTGCACATCAATCAAACACTTCTTAGAATTTCCACTGTTTTCTTTTCACAATTTTTCTTTGGTGATGAGATCCAAAGTTTGAGATTGGACACCTGCTTCAACATCATCTTTCTAGACAGAAAATCCTTCACAGATTCTCTGACAGACTCATCCTAGTTACCCTGAATGGCCACAATAATATGACTTTCAGTCAGAAGATCAGTTTAAACCTATATTTGCAAGGACTATGACTAATTTTGGGCCTAACTGTACCTTTTTATATTAAAGTTTTTAAAAGTGACATCAGATTTAGGTAAATACTGGTATGAGGAGACCAAAACTGGCCACTCGGGTTAGTGCATCTTCATCCAACAATGCTCTGTCATTCAAACTGAAATCACTTCGCTCAAAGATAAAGATCAAAAATAATGGACATTGCTGCAGAATGTTGTTGTCATACAACAATGTTTTTAATGTATATATGTCACTTTTTCCAATACTATATGGTCCGATTATGCTGAAAAGCAAACAAGACAAAGCAATAAAATACATCGTCAAATAAATAAATCCATGGATTTTCACAAGTGTGACAAGCTATTCTATTGTTCATGGCTCTCTGGTCCCACACAGCACAGCCTCTCTGCCCCAGGCTAAGGACAGACTGCCCCCTTTGATATGTTCTCAGTGTGCTGCCACAGTACATGCTGAGGATCTGCAGGGGGCTTCTTGTCCCCCCCACTTCCTGGAACAATCAGCCAGTGCGTGAACGCTGCCCAGTGGCAGAATCTTTAGGAGATGAAGAGGGGCTTCCCTCTTCATCACCCCCTCCACTGACCAATTCTACAACCTGGCCGAAGGCAACGAGGATGTTTCACAAAATCTCTAGAATTTATTTTATCCTACCTTGTTCACTAATAGCATTTCATGCTTTTGCAATGCGGGTGAGGCCGTTCCACACCGTTCTGCCATTCTGACAGCGGTGATACAGAATACGGCTGAACTCCGTAGGGAAACAGTAACCTCAAAGTGAGGTTTTACACAAGTCTTTATTATCTCAATCGACCGTATAGTTTTCATCCATCAATCAAAAGCCACAGGTATGGCTATAAAAACAAGAGAGAAATTCCCGACGATTGTATCAACACAGCGTCGTCGTATCAAAAGAAGGAGAAGATTACAGAGGTAAACTTCAAAGGGCCTAATTGTCAAAAAAAATGGCAAAGGTTTGAATTTCACATTTTGAGCCAATGTTCAATCGCAACATGTGGTCCTGCCAAAGTTCAAACTGCGCTCTGAAACAATAATCAGCAAAAGGAGCAACAATCTGGAGGTGTTACTAAAGGCAAACATTCTAGCAATCATTCCTCAATAAATAAAAGGGATTCTTTTCACTCAAAAGAATGAGAAGAAAAGAAAAACCGCTCAGGCATATTGTTTAACAGCTGGAAGTATTTCTGTGCTGGCAGATTATTTATACAGTACCCTACCGCATTACGACTCCATAAAACTGGAGATATTCCTCGTCTGTGCGGACAGTTAATTCTAGTTTGACTGTGACTTTGGCTGAACACGGAATGGAATAAAAACCACAGGATGTGTGTTTCTCTGGGCGTTTTATGCAAGTATAGAAAGAAGGATGATGGGCAAAGGCCATGCATGTTGAATAACACTCCAATGTTAATTTAAACCGCTGGACATTAAGGAATGGAAAAATAAGGTGTGTATGAACAGCTGGAGAAGTAGTCAGGAGGATCGTAGTACTTTTGTCACTTTTGGCTCTTGGAAGAAAATTCAACTTCAATAAATCTGTCTCAATTCACTGAAGGAGAGATGGTACAGTTTAGGGGGTATAACTTGGAACTTTCCTACATGAAATTATCTAAATCTTAATCTTGATAGATATAGCACAATTTACCATTTGTGTGTGGTAAATTTCTAACTTCAAACAAACACTCAAGTAAGAAATATTTGTCAGTGGTGCTGCTGGAGTCTGGTCCTGATTTCAGTGATGGGAGCATTTGACTTTGACTAGTGAGGTTGGTTTAGGTACAGTCCAAAAACATGACTTTTAGTTTAACTGGGGTCTCTAAATTGTCCTTAGGTATCTCATGTCATTTCCAATGACTACTTGACATAGTGATTGGTCAGAATTTTGCAGATGTGATTGTTAACACAGAAGACATTCAACTTCCAGAAACCAATTTTGATGTACTTGATGAACAGAACATCAAGTACTACTTCAGTTGTTTCAGAGAACCAGGTCATCAAGATCCCACCTTGATGGCCTGAAGACATCTCAGGCCTGGTATGAAGAGACATTTTCTGGAATAACCTTTACTTTCTTCCAACAGAATCTCAGGAAGTGTGCTGATGCAGCCGGTGACCGCACTGCCTTCAGGCTCCATCAAGTTGTTCACTTCCCTGAACGGATCAATCATCAAGCAGTATTACATTTTAAAAACAGGCAGTCTGGGCACTAGGCAACCATTATGTCTACTCTGTTTAGACTTTGACTGATAATGTGGGTTGCTCTTCTTATTATGCGCTTCCATTAGCCTAATGAGAATTTTAATAAGTTTCTCCATCTTGTGGTTAACCAAAGGAGAGACATGAGGCAAGAGGATTGACAGACAAGAGTTTGCTCTCATTGCTGATGTAAAGGTAGTGAAAATACGACCAAGTTTATAATGACACAATAAGAAAGATGTTTCCTTTTACGTTTGCCTTCCTACCCAGGCTGGATGGCTGGTTCTTCTCTTCAATTCCAGACCTCAAAGGTAAATCAACTGACCGCTGTCTGTTTACAACACTTTGAGATGTTTGGAGACGTTCCGTAAACCTGGCCAGCACACATTCCTCAACACAGTTTGACCTCGAAGATCAACAGAGACACGTCTGTGTGCTCACCAAATCATATCCAGTCAATTCGATTTACCACCAATTAAGGAATGTACCATGTGCCAAAAACACAGAACAAACTAGGAAATTTTCCATGAGCTTAATTCAACTGTTTCATAGAACCTTTTGGATCAAATTAGCCATTTCATTGTACAAGCTTAAAATGTCGCGTAGATTTGAGAAGCTTCATCTAATAAAAATAATAACATGGCATGGCTAGGAGAAAATTGCACAGAGAGGTCACAGATGCTACTCAATCTGCTGCTCGATTCGAAACGCCAAATGCTCTGTTATGCCCGAGGTCAGAGGTCGGAGCCAGGGAGAGGGTTACTGAAGGAGAAATGTGAGGGCTGATCCAGAGAGACATATTATCAGGTAAAGGCAGCGGGGTGAGAGGTGACGATCTGTTTAGGCTGGAAACGGGTCAGGGTTGAGCAGGAGGGCAGACCAGGGATCCACCTGGATATAGAATGGAATGGGATATCGTAAATGGACAAAAACGCCAATTTCAACCTGGGCCTGGGTCACATGAAGAGTTGGACAAGCCTTGCCTAATGGGCTGATCAGTTAAAACAATGGCCCAATTGTTAGCTGGTAATGCAATTTAGTGCGGCTGAACGAGCCTCTCTGAGATTTTACAGCATGCAGAGGACTCCTTTTGGGTCCATGATGAATTCACTTTCCACTTCGTCTAACTAATACTCAATTTGCAGGGTCAAACTATTTACTTCTGCCTCTGTTTATCCTGAAAGCAGCCAGGACCCAAATACACAGCAACAAAAAATAGAGTTTAAGCTTAAAAGTAATTCCTGTGTTAAACGGTGGAAGACAAAAACCATAGCTTCTCTGCCTTTTTGTGCTGCAGATTTGAAAAGACTGATCAGAAGTGTATTGAGGAAAACCAAGCGAAGAGAAAGCACGGTCGTGTAGGGCTTGTTATCTTCCATGTAGGTGAGAGCAAAGCTCATCTGGGACTCCCAGATAGAGCTGGGGTAGGAAGGGGGTCTGGAATGGAGTGTATTGGTGTGTATGCAGGAGAAAGAGCTGAAAACCCCAGCAGAAGCCAAGCGGCCCCCAGGTTCTATCCCAGATGAAAGGCCAGGATCTGGGCTAGATAAGAGGGAAGCTCAGGGGGGAAGTGGAAGGAAGGGGTGGGTGGGTGGGGGGAGGAGGGGTTGGGACCAGCCAGCTGTGAGAAGCCATGTCCAGCGGCCATCTTTTACCACCCTCCTACTCTTCCCTCAAACAAATACCCAAACACGTAGAAGCAGAATGTCAGATTAGGAAAGAGAGCCCAGATGAGTAATACGAGGAAGAGGATCATCTATTTTAGAGGTTAGGTGTAGGACTAAGGTGTGAATTAAGCTTAGGTTAGATTTAGGGCTTTTCATGTAGAGATAACGGTTAGGTATAGGGTAAGAGTCAGGCTGTAGAAATAAATGGAAGTCAATGAAAATTCCTAGCAAAAACAGAAAACCATACCTCTGTGTGTGTGTGTGTGTGTATATACACACACACTAAATGTATATAGCACATTTAGAGGACTACTTTCATCATTTTCACTGACAAAGGGAGGCCATTTGTGGCAGTGAGGAGATTGTCCTAAATTTTTTCTCACGTCTAATGTGTTCTACTAGTTAGGTTTAGAGGTGTGGTGTGAATTAAAGATAAGGTGTGGGTATATCCAAATCTTATGAATATATCACAAAGTTATATACCCATCTAGGCCAAGGTGGCCTCGCTCGGCATTTTTGGGTAAAAATGCCAAGGCTAGGCATAAAAGTAGTTACTAAAATAAATGAAAATCATTACAAAGTCCTCAGTTTGATAGAAGTATAAGGAAGGTCGGGTGTGTGTGTTTCGTGTAGCAGTGCAGGGTGTGGATCTAAAAGCAGTCATGGGGAAAATGAAATCAGTGTTTTGCAGAGGTCCTGGTTTCATCCCTGGGCCCCTGAATGAGTTAAAAGACACACACACACACACCCGCACACACATCAATGCCAGGCGATTCAGTAACATCCAGCTGCTCCATTTTACCTTTTCACCCAACAACAAGCAGCAAAAGGTGTTCCAAGAAGGACATTAGAGCACCATATGGTATTTGGAGGAAGAACAAAAATCCCTCATGGCCACACACAAATTTGCATTTCTCTCCTAATCCAGACAACTATTCATGTGTAATACTAATCCAAAAATTGCATCTCTCTATTGGTCACCATAAATGTATGATATTCTAGGAGATTATACCAGAAAATGTCCTAAAGAGGCAACAAAAACCAGGTACACACACAAACAAACACCGCTGTATGTCATCTACTGTCACCTGAGCAAATCAATGCAGTGGAGAAATCCATTCCAATTAGAATCCAGCTGCTCCCCCCTGCATGAGGAGGCTGATTAATCAATACAGAAATCCCACAGCTGACCTGCGATTTTTCATACAGAAACACAAAAATGGGACCAGGCCAGGATACAGAAACGGGAAAACGATTGCACTTATCTTCACATTTATTGCGACAAGTATTTTTAGGCAGAAAAGAAAACGCCAAGCCGACACATTTTGAAGCGGATGCACTGGCACCGATGTCAAATTGGACCTTGCCATTTGCAGGCAGGATGCTATAAACCTGTGACGACTGATGACCTCTGACCCGGCGTCCAACGGGAGGCGTGTTGAGGGCATGTGTCATTCCGGGGGAAGCTGTAACGTTCCCAATCATCCGAGCGAATGCAGGCAGAGTCGCGTGCGCCAACGTGACATGTCTGCTGGCTCGGAGCTGAGTGGCGTTGAACTGGAGCGGACGTGACAGGAGTGTGTTCGAATGTGTGTAAGCATGGAGAGGTGTGTGTTCAAGGTCTCAAGTGTCAACTTGCCCCCAACCCCCACCAACTACCACGCCCTCAGGCAGCCAGGACTGTAATAGCCATTCAGACTTAGCGCGCTGCTAAACCTTTACGTGACCTTTCCCTTGACGGTGACATTTGGACTCCACTGAATAGGTCAAAAAGCACTAAAGAGTCACAGCACAAAATAGAAGAGAGGGAGGGAAGGAGAAAGGAAGAAGAAATTCCAAGAAGTTAAAGTGAGCAGACATCAGGAAGCTGTTATATTGGATTGGTCAGAAAACTGCAATTTGTGCACCCTGAATTCAAACTATCAACCTGAAAGTGCATCACGGAGAATGCCTCTGAGAAATACTAAACTCATGGATGGGCAGGCTGTCATTTAGTCCTTTGTGGAACAGGAAAAGCAGGATATGACGACAGGTCCATCCCGTCTGATGTCACAGAAAAATAAAATGAACAAAAACAAATGGACTGTTCCCAGGTTGGGTAGGATGTCAAAAGCGGAAGGAGATAATTCACAAGACTGAAAAAAACAGGGGAATTAGAAAACAAAAAAGATTTTGAAGGTAATGAATCACAAAATAATAACCTCAGTTTGAAGGAAAATGTAGGCAGAGACAAAACCAGACACCATAGAAATGGGACGTATCTTGTTTTATATTTCAAAAGGCAAACTCAATATTGACGTAATTAGAAAATATTTGATGTCTACCTAAATACCACAGTATAAAACGCCAGAGAATGGAAAAGTTCTATTGTCAATATCCAGAGGTGAGAAGATGTTTGTTCATTCTGCTGTTTTGACACTTAAAATGCCTTGTAGATCAAACAAACTCTATTCTAAATGTAGTTCTCAAATGATAGTTTTATTTATTAGAAAGAAAACAGCTATCACTAACCTGATCCAATGTAAACCAGCCTCCAGATCTGAAATGCTGAGCCTGATTGAACTTGCAGAATCAAGACTCACTTGAATTCTAGAACTATGCTGCAGAGCAGAAACATCTCTTCCATCAATCCTAATGGACAAGAGTTGCATTTCCTACTCCTCTAACCATCAGAGAGGAGCAGCGAAAGCAAATGAGAAAGATTAGCAGAGCTGGCCAAAAACTGATGTCTTCCAGAATGTGTTACTGTGGAATATCATCTCTGTTGCCTTGATCTTGAGCTGTTGGCGTGTCATGACACTCATTAGACTGTCTTCCACCAACAGTGTCTTTGGTAAGAGGCTTCTACCAGGGTGTACCCCGCCTCTCGCCCGGAACGTAAGCTAAAGATGGGCACCAGCACCCCTCCCAAACCCACTAGGGACAAGGATGTTAGAAAATGGATGGATGGATGGATGAGTTACTACAACATTTAATTTCACTTTGGGAAGAATAAAATAAAGAAATTCAAGCACAGATTGAGAAACAGTCACTGGCATCCATCAGCTCGGAAAGGATGGCTTTTGGACTCTAGGGAACTACAGAGAGAATTGTCATTGTTTAATGTTAAGCTCGAGAGCGTTTTTTTTTTTTTTTCTCCTACACATAAACTCTTAGGTGGATTTTGCTCTGACTCCAACTGGAACTCTAAGAAAACACCTACACTCCCAGTCCCACCTTAAAGACTTCTCGATGTAATGGAAGAACGTTAATGGCTCCCCCGGAAGGAAGGGAAGAAGAAAGGAAGGAAGCTGCCAAATTGCTAATTTTAGGCACTATGCGTCTCAGATGAAACGCTGGAAAAGGCAAAGGGGAGGCGGGAAACTTATCCGTCTCTCACTTTCTCGACTCTGAGCATCATGTCTTTCTAACCGTCATTACACCCTTCATCCGGAATGAGGGAGTCTCACAGCTCTTTGATTGTCTACACAGTTTCTCCCTCTCTTCCTGTTCCCAGCCCTCTCTCCTTCCAGCTTTCTCCCTCTCCATTTTTTTCCCCCTCAACTCTTTCATTCTCACCTCCCTCCACGTCTGAAGGTACCTGGGTAAATAAACAATGTTGTGTGGGATGCTAATTAGAGCAGGTTCAGGGACGTGACGAGCCCTGAGACGGATAAACAGCAAAGGTGGGGAGGAGAAGAGATGAGATAAGATGGGGTGGAGGTGAGGGGAATGTTGCCCCCAAGAGGGCAAGGGAACACAGATGCACACAAAGCAACCGAGCGGTGAAGGACAGGCAAGAGTGGTCCTGGTCTCACCCCAAACTTCAGAACACATGGAGCACCATACTGTTACCGAACACTGTGAAAACGTTCTTAATGTTGCCGGCTCTGTCAAGATCAAACAATTATGCAGATGAATCCAACAGTTCTTCTCCTGTTAAGGTGAAGCGCGGGCATCTAAAAGCAGGTCAATGCAACCTAGTTTGTTCCCAATGAACAGGAAATGACCTCCTACAGTTGAATTAGGTGCTGGAGAAGCAGATGAGACAGAGGAAAGATGGGAACAAACAAGCCTGCTCACACTTGCTGGTAACTTTGACAACACCGTGCAAGATAAATATTTAAAGACAGCTTAAGGAGCAAATGTGTTTGCTTGGTTCTCTAAATAGTTCTTGAAATTGGGGATGTGTTACAAAACACACAAAAAATTGTGGTTTTCATTTTTAAAATCCTTTTGGTATTTTGTCAGATGTGAATGGAAACGTTCAATCTTTTCTACCATGAGTGTTGCCTGTGAAGCCCACTGCCCAAATGAGTAGACGTATAGCAAAACTTTCAGCTAACAGGAGTACGACAACATTCAGTTCATGAAAAGAAGATAATGGTTTAAACTATTTCAGGGTATATTCAGACTAGCCCTGTTCAGTCTGCTTTAATGGAACTCCAGTTTGTTCCTCTAGAAAGTCTGCTTTGTTTGGGGAGGTGTGAATGCATAGCTGAACTCTGATGTGGACCAAAACAAGCAAACTCTGGTCAGCCTACAAACCAAGGTCTTAGTTTGGTTTAAGTGAACTCTGGTGTGGTTTGAATACATATATGAACGCAAGTGGACTGGAAACCACTCCAAAAGTAGGAAGTAGACTAAAATGCAGGGCATTCTGGGTAAATGCTACCAAAACCAAAAAAAGCGGAAGCATAGCGGGAGAAATGCCTCATGGCTTTTTGCCGAAGATGAAAATGAAATCCTAAAAGCACTAAAAGTTGACACAATTCTTTTGTTTACATTTTGTGAAGAAGGATGTTGCTCTCAGCGTCTTCTTCAGAGGTTGTGCTTTTCCTTTGCGCGAGTTCTTGGTGCAGCGCCATCACAGTCAAGAAGGGAAACAGGTTGCTCAGAAGATTTGGTTCATTTGACAAAGTGGAATGTGAAAGCGAGACACACCAGCTGAAACTGGAAGAAATGTTGCATTTTTGGGCAGCATCACTAACAATGTTAACTTTGAACAAATCAAGTAGCCTCACGTTTTTGGCCAACTTTTCTCATTCTTTGCTAAATTCTATAACCAAGCACTCTGCTTTGTCGTCTTTGGTGAGTCATTTAAACGATAGCCAATGGAATCTGGAACAATAGAAGCCAGCTGTGAATAAGAACAACCACTGAAGCCATTGTTAAATTAAACAGACATGAACGCTGCTTAATATGACAGAAACGGTTAGCTTCCATTTTCAAAAAGAAAAAAGAATAACACTAGCTCCTTAACCAGGAGACAATGGGAACAGATCAAACAAACAATCTGAATTGTAGCACAGAGGTCTTCATGATTAAAAGGCATCACAGATTAAGGCCAGATTGGGCATGGCAGGGTTAGGAGAAATTTTACTATTACAAGCACTTGCATAAGTTTTAATCTCATGTTAAGTCTGATGAAAACACTGATAGAGAGACAAGGGAGCAGCAGGTAGGATGGATCAGTCCATATCCAAGGCTGAGGAGAAAAAGGAAACTGGGATTGCTGGATAGACAAGCTATTTTTATAATGAGGTCAATGTGAGCTGTGGGACTTTATTCTCTTGGGGAACACACAGAAGCTGTGGCAAAAGATGGCTCCTGCTGAGAGGGGCTGCCTCTGTCCACAGCAGGAAGATGGCAGAGACAGAATGGGAAGGACTATTTCAAGATGATGATCACAAGATTCTCTTAATTTCTACTGGGAATGAAAATCTTATGCATACATTTTATACAACGGCACGTGTAGATCATACGGACATTGACATGTCATGTTTCAGGCTCACAGGAAAACATAGACGATTCATACAAGCAATATAGGTAAGATGAACAACTCCAAGCATATTAAGCAAAGCATTTACCAGTTGAAAGACTCTTCCTTCCTCAGCTGCTGCGCCTGCCCTCCTCTCTGGGTGGTGCCCTGGTAGTGGTCCTGTACCCCACTCACCACACTCCCCCTGGCAACATACAAAACAACGTTAGCAACAGTTGTTAAAAATCATAATAAGAATGAAAAAAACAATAGCACCAGAGTGAAGCCCTGGACCTCTATTGCAAAACAGGTTTAAACTAAAATAAAATGCAGTGAGCAAAAACACAGTTGTGAAGTACAATAGATATATACATCTTATCAATGTACATCTTATTTAGCTAAAACAGGAAACAGTGAAAGCCTCGCGAACAAATACTGTTCACTTTCATTTTTAATCAAACTGTTACGTTGCACTAAAGAAACTAGCTGAGGTTCATTATTTGAAGGGTGAGTATAAGGATTTTAATTTGCTTTTTTTATGTCTCTCCCTTACTAGGTTCTAAAATAAATCTAACCTCGTGTAAACAAAACCACAAACCAGACTCCTTCAAGTAATAACTTATTAAACAAATATATATTTAAAGAGGTAAAATCCCTGAATTTTAAAGGTGTTCTTCCATTTTTCACAACTGAAGTCCTGACAGCTTTAGAGTCTCAAATATTAGGACAAAAAAAATATCATAGCCTCTATTGTAAAGGCATTAAGCTATATCATACATTTCAGAAGCATTTTCAGATTGGGGAGAGGGTCTAAATAGAGATGCACCGATCCACTTGTTTCCACTTCCTACACCGATATCTGAGGTTCAGTATTTGCTGATACCAATCTGATGCAAAAAGAAGAAAAAACACTGATGGATTAACTTAAAATGTTTCTTTAAAAGAAAAAAATCAGACAAAAATGTAAAGAATTACAAATTGTGTCTGCTGTACAATGTGTTACAACAGCAGCTGTGCTTTAACAGACTAGCTCAGCTCTGCGTGGCCCGTTTTAAGAATGCAAACGCTCAGAGATGCACAGAACAAACTCTCCGTTGCAGCCCCTTACTCGCTCTAAATGCCTGTCGCCTCGGCCCTCCATTAAGCTGAGTGAGAGCTCGTTTAGCCAACAGCGTCTCTGCAGTTGGGGACGCATGCTGCCCACTCAGTCACATTCAGCCGTATTAAATAAATAAGGAGCGCTCTTCTGTGTAAATTATTCATTTAACACGCCTTATCCTCTTCCAACAACCTTGTTAGAGCAACTCAGGAGTGGAGGAGGAAGAGGGGGGAGCGGAGACGAAGAGGCAGACACCGCGGCTCATGCGCGACTCAGCAGAACCTGTGGTGCATCCCTAAGCCCTCTTGGCGTTCAGTTACGTGTGTGTGTGTGCGTGTGCGTGTGTGTGGGGATGGGGCTAATTCACCCTGACACCTCCTTTGTTTCTGGCGGAAAAGAGCTGCGTACACACAGCTGTGTATTTGTTCGCATGCACACACACACTCAAATACACACAGAAATTGTACAAACCTAAAGAGAAAGAGCACAGGAAAGGAATTTTTAGTGCATATTCATAGAACAATCATTCTAGTTGTCTGGATGAATTATTGAGAAATAGAAGCTCAGGCCATGTGATGCACGACTGTGACAGGGTGATTTATTTATTTTTTTTTAGATCCACAAATTCAAGTGCGACACAGCAAGTCATCCGCTTTAAACATGCTGATAATAACGAGACACGATGGGAACGAATGGGGGAAAAAAAACAAAAAACGCTCAACTACTGCTTAACTTAACAAATATTAGCCTCCTAGTTAAATGTAGAACACAGCACAGCAGTTTATGCCAGATCCGTCTTATGGCATGGCTAAAAAGAAAAAAGATGCATTTTTACACATACTTAAGGAGAACAGAAAGTCTCATTCCAGCATAATTATCGTAGTGCGCATTCACACATCCCACCTAAACTGCCCTCAAAGAAAGCTTAACTTATAATACTCCATGACGGTGAAAAAAAAAAAAGCAGACTTCAAAGTAGAATAAGTCTGCTTTTATATGACAGCATAAAAAGTAAAGATAATCTTACATACTTTAACTTTGAGGCCATACAGTGTTACCGTGAACCCCAAACTAATCCTGACTGTTGACTTCATTAGGAAGAACAGAGACGACCCCAGAAAGAGTCCGACTGCAGGGACCAGTGGTGAGCAGGTTATTATGTCAACCCTGACAGGATTCATTACCAGTTTCTACTGCCTCAATTGGGAGTTAACACGCTTTGGCCCAAGCAAAGCCCAGCCAGGCCCTGAGTGCTACAACAGGATCGGTGTGTGTTTGAGGGCATTCAGGAGCTAAAGGTTAGTCAGCAGAGACTTTCTACAAAAAAAAGATACAACCGATACTGTAGGCTACAGGGGTGAAGGTACTCAACTCACAATGACATTTGCTGCTTATTTTGGTTAGTGACTGTAATAATATATGCGAGAGTTAATCAGTTGCTGTTTTTTAACAATATGGGTAAATCTTTGCCGGTATGCCATCAATGTAGAAACAAAAACACAATTCTGCAATTGCTGCATTTCCATTAAATAAGAAATGCAATTAAAATTACCCGTGAATAAGTTTGTTCACGCGATAAGTTAATAAACATGTCTCATCATCATTCTTCTACCACTTCCTGATGTCTTCATGTTCTTTACCACCAGTAGAATCATCTGATTGTTTATGACGTGACTGGCGATGAAAAACTGTTTTTTATTTAAATTAATTGATAAACTTCCCCTCCCCTGTCACCCCAGAGATTCACACCATGCTTGTGACAAAACAACAAATAGCCATCCAGTGGCAGATGGTTAAAACTGCAAAGAAAATTAAATGGTGCAACAAGCACATCTGAGGAAAAAAAAAAGTTCAGACTACATAATTTACATATTAAGCAATACACACTATCTTCACAGGGGCAAATAAGGTGATGAACAAAGACAATGAATGGACTGGAGACCTTCAGTGAGTGTTTTGACTGACTTCTGGATGCTCTGGTAACCATCTGTAACACATCCCTTGGCTCATGTTGCCCTCACACAGGCTCATGTTGCCCTCACACAGGCTTCTGACGCTGGTTCCAGACCTGCCAGTAAATCACATTGTTTACATACCCATCTCTGGTCGACCAATTTACAAATTTATACCCAAAACCGACCAGAGCTCCTGGGTGTGGGACTTCTCTGTTCGTCAGTGTGGAGGAAGTTGATTTTGTCAACACTCAAGACTCTTTTGTTTAATGAAGTTTTAGTTTCACCTAAAACTATCCTACTGAGTGTCCCTGCAGGTTTTGAAGGTGTACCCCTACCCTCCCACTAGTCCTCCCCTTTGCAGTTAGTCACAACTTAGAGATGTTGGTGATTACACATGATTAAGGCTTTCCACTTCAAACAGACCTGATGTTGACACAAGGTCTGACATGGCGGTATAAAGAACAGTCAGAGGTCTAATGGTCTGGTTATGGATATGAGTGTTTGTATTGGTGAAAGAACAAACATCAATGTAGGTTTCAAAGACATTCACACAAAATGTCATTACGTAAATATTTCCTTGTACAAACTAGGCAAAATTAATTGATAAATACAGCTCATTATCTGTTGTTTGAACTGTATTTAAAAGCTTTGTTAGCACAGCTAAACTCTATAATTAATATAGTTTTTAACTCTTCTATTGGTATATTTTTGTTTTTTTGAACAAGTGTCAACCCGTCTTAAGTCCAATTTGGGGTTTATGGACTTCAACCTCACCGTTTTAAGTCAGTAGAAGTGCAGCTAGTGCCAAGTCTTTGACATTACCTTATAAACAGGCTGATTTTCCATATTTCTTTTATTTCTTGGCAGCCTGTGAGGGACTAAAGTATGAGGTGTTCCACAGTTGCAGCACTGCAGCCCAAATTAGCCTGGACCACATGAAAAGCTCTCGTCTCTATTCCAGGCCAGGGCAGGAAAATTACAGCCCTGCTTACTCTACTCTAGCATTAAACCTCAATTAGTGCACAAGCACACAAATGATGTCATCATTGAGGGACCCAAAGGCCCTGGAAATTCAGAGTGCTTTTTCTACAGAAGAAACTGAAAGTTAAGCACTCTTAAAACTTTTAGGTTCGCTCTCTATGCAGTCCGACCAAGGCAGGAGAAACATGAAGCCCAGTTTGGTTAAGTTTACCTGGAATTTTAATCCGGGCTCTTGACGGGTGTTCAAGAGCCCCTCACCCCTCCTAAGAGTTGAGAGGTCAGTGAGGAAGGACAAGAAAAACTTTGGGGTGACCTCTGGTGACCTTGCAGGAGACAGAGGAGGGGGGGAGGACAAGGAGCGGGAGGGTGACAGACCCAGATGGAGACCTTTTGCTGCCCTAACCCGACCTCTGCCAGCCACCTTTGTCACAAGGAGGTACATTATAGAGGAAATTTCACTTGTGGAAGTGAAAACTAAACAAGGCTGGAAGTATTGCACAACTCTTTCTAAGTTTTCGCTATTAATAGCACAGTTTTATTATTTATAAAATAGGAAGATCCCTGTGGAGAGTCATTTCTGAACTCAAGTCAACCAAGATGCTTCCTTTGACAGCACAACAGAACAATGACATGTCCACTGATGTCTAATAATCATTATATTACAGGTCAGATAATTTTTAGAAAAATTATCTGAATGTGATAATTTTACTAAAAAGCAGAGTTAAGTAGAAAGAAATGAGTTCCCTTTGACTGAAGTTTAATTTCTGTTCAGTTCCTTCAACATTCACCCCTAAAATGCAATGAAAAAAACAACCTGTGTATCTCAGACTGTTCAAGGTTCTTACCGGGTCAACAAGCATAAAGCTGCACACCTACACTAAAGTGTATACCTCCCAGCAGAGCAGCGGGGCTTCTGCACCATTGTGTTAGAAAAACATCCAAGGTCTAGAAGAACTAGAAGTTAGCAAATTGACTACAAGCTGCTCTAACCTTAAAATTTCAGAAGAACTCTTCACTTAAGCTTGGACAACATGATTACTTTCCAGTCTAGCTCTACAAAATGTCTTCCTTTACAAAGACAAGTAAGCTAAAGTTAAATTAGAGCTGTCTAATGTCAAGGCCCAAAATTTAATTTTAATTTCTTTTTTTTTTCCATTATCAATTTTCAGG